ATATTAAAATATAACTAACAAGCCAGGGGGAAATATTTGATAAGGTCTTAGTCTGTGTTTGTGTTGCTATAAAGGAATACCTGAGGCTGGGTATTTTATAAAGCAAAGAAGTTTAGAGGTTTATTTGGCTCAACAGTTCTGCAGGCTGTACAAGAAGCGTGGCACCAGCATCTGCTTCTGGTGAGGGCCTCAGACTGCTTCCACTCACAGTGGAAGCAAACAGGAGCAGGCAACAGAAAGTGTGCAGTGATCACATGGCAAGAGAGGAAGAGAGGAAGGGGAAGTGCCAAGCTCTTTTTAACAACTAGCTCTTGCTAAAACTAATAGAACAAGAACTCATACACTCACCACCACCACACTGGCACCACCGCCCAGAGCATTAATCTATTCATGAGGGATCTACCCCCATCACCCAAGCACCTCCCATTAAGCCCCACCTCCAATATTAGGGATCAAATGTCAACATGAGGTTTGAAGGTATCAAATATCCGAACCATAGTGGATATTTAAAAAGTAAAGCATGAATGTCCAGGGCATTTATAAAGAGCCCCTACAAATGAATAAGTAAAACTCAAATCAGTAGGAAAAAATGGGCAAAAACATTAACAGGTAAGGCAAACATATAATGAATGTATAAAAGATGCCCAACCTTACTTATAATCAGGGAAACTGAAAATTAATGTGAGTTTGGTTTTATATCAATAGATACAAAAATACTATAAAAGATTGATAATGTGTTACTGAAATTATGGGGAATAACTCTTACATCCTATTGGTGAGACTATAAATTGATAAAGCTTTTTTACTAGCATTATGTCACTATCAAAATTATAAGTACTTACAATTTTGGCCCTGTTGGCCCAGCTATTCCACTTTGAGGAGTCTATCTTAAAGAAATACTTAAACATGGGCACAAGTATTTACGAAGTTATTTACTTCATCATTGTTTATAGTAATATAAAAAGTGATTTTAAATGCCCATTTATAGAAAGTGGTTATATTGATTATGGTCCATTTTTACTGTGGAATACTGTACACATATTAAAAAGAATATGATCGCTTTCACATGAAAAGATCACTTGGACATACTAAGTTAAAAAGCAAGTTGCAGAACGTGTGTTTTCCTTCTTATGTCTTTTGCATTTTCTCTATTGGGACTTTAAATGCTAATTTAAAAGAATCATAATCAGATCACACATTTCATTTTTACTGAATTTAAAACTTTACATTTTATTATTAATGACTTGTAGACTACTGTGTTTTTAAAATAAAGGAGAGCCTGATTGTGTTACAAAATAGCAAAAGTTAACTATTTGACATGGCTTTTTAAGCTTATAGTTTTAATTATTGAAAATAAAATCTAATATCTCTTTATGTGTATGTATTACATTTTGGATCTAAATC